GATGGACCATGGTAACTAAAATACGCCTACACGTCAGCATTAAATAACAGCTTTTTCAAGACACACCTTAGCGAGACATCAATTAAATCTGCAGGAGTGTGGAGAAATTCTTAAAACGGAACCTGTCAAAGGCTAGGTTCACACCTATGCAGTTTGCATTTGAGCTGTTTCTGCATTGCGTTTTTGTACCTGTGTTTTTGATGTGTTTTGAGCTTTTTTTTATTGTTGCTAGGCAGTTTTAAAATGCAACAAAAATGCACTACATGCTTTTCTGAAGTGTTTCCATTGAAGTCTATAGAACCAAAAATGCAACTTTTTGCATTCAAAAAAGTCCCTGACCCTTTCCAAAAAATGCACAGGGTGAAAGCACGGAGATGTGAACGTGTCCCATAGGAAATCATGTTAAATGGACAGTATTGTGTTTCTGCATAACGCTGCAGAAAATGTTTAGGTGTGAACCTAGGGTAGCAGGAGATGCCATTTGTTTTACAAAAATGAAAGCTTCGTGGCAAGGTCAGATAGTGATCTGGACATACAGTAATTCACTGACCAGCTCTGCAGGAATCATGACTGAAGAATATGTATCAGCGATTTGTAGCAGCCATCAATGGCCAAGATTAGAAAAGTGCAACTCAGTAGGAAATCAGTGACCACTTTCGTATTGGGCCCAGGGGCGGACTGACAACTCATGGGGCCCCGGGCAATAGGGGATCATGGGGCCCCTGCGTCCTTGCCCAAACTCAAAAAAGCCTATGAAAAAAGTACCAGGGGCATCTCATGGGGCCCCCTACTGACCCTGGGCTCTCGGGCAGTGCCCGAGTTTCCAAATGGTCAGTCCGCCCCTGATTGGGCCTATGTTTTACTTTCAATTAGAGCCTCATTCTAATTATAAAATGCTCTATTTAAGATTATTCTATATTGGCTCTTTATAGCACTGTTAGGCCTAAGTCATTCTAGTACTGATAAATAGGCATTTCTATGCACTTATAGGACATTTCCAAATGCATATAATTGCATGTAATGGTTTTAAATGGTATAATTCACACTGTGTGTGTTTACCTGCATTTAGATGTATTTAGTTTAGCTGCATCTAGAGAAAGAATTATGTGTGTTCATGGTCCGATTAGATACTCTGAATGTGCCTAAATGCATGTAAAAACACAAGTACGTTCAAACATAGGAGACATTGATCTGTGGAGCATAAAGTATATGTACGCTATCCAAATAATTCCTATTTTCAAATAAAACAAATGAGGGAGGCTAGTGTGAATGCAGCCTTACAGGTCTTATCACAAATGTGGTTCATCTGCAAAATAACTATATTACTTACCTTAAAGCCATAGAATGTGGCAGTGTATGAAATATTTGTGATGAAATTCACATTACTGAAATACCAATTGAAGGTATCAGCATTAGGTAGTAAGGCCATCCATCCATTCTGGTGCGTTAAACGTTTAGGTAAGCAGGGAACAACTGTGAGACCTAAATTGAACATAAAAAAATTAGGGGTGAAAAAATCCTGAGATCTGGCCAAAAGAGTATTAAAAGAGAGGGGGTGAAAGAAAGAAGGAACATGAAAAGGAATAGTAACTAAAAAGGAAAAAATAAATAAAAGAAACAGGAAAGGGAAAGAATAGAAAGTGTAAAAGAAAAAACAATGAGAAGGAAGAAAAGATAGAGAAAAAATAAGGTAAATAATTATGGGAAAATAGAAGAAAATAAGTAGAAAAGGATAAAGAAAAAAAAGGACAACAAGGAAAAGAAAAAAAATGGCAATGTAATAAAAAGGAAAGCTTTATCTTAGCACAGTCAGCAATCAGGAACATTTTACATGTTTACTGGGAGTTTACTAGGGGTCTTTTTTATTGTGCAAAGCAAATAAACTAAAAAACTTACCAAAGGAGTTAGAAATGATGACATCTTTCCAAAGAAGAGTAGATGGAGATGGGTTATTAAATGCCAGTCGGTGAAAACTGACAGTAGAGTTACAGACAAAACCAGGGAAACCAGCACTCCAGTCACTACGCTGACTGCACTGTGATGGGTCAAGCAGCCCGCTTGCTGGTACCACCTTTGCTCCTGTTTTTCCTGTATGAAAAAATATGTATTTCATAATTTCAAAAGAACTGTAAAAGCATTATGATTTCCTTAATCTTATCCCTGAAAATGCTAGGATGCAAATATTCAGAGCCTTTTGTACCTACTAGCTGTAGGAAAAAGGTAGTAGAAGCTTAGGGCAACTCTATCAACCGTTCTGATTCCAGCATTTGCTTCTCCACACTTCAAATAAAGGGAATAAAAGAATCACCCTGCTGAGAAGCTGATGGAGAATCTGAACATTTCTAATTAAACTATATGGGTTTTTGGACACCTGATCATCACACCTATATAAACTTGTTGGACATCTCCTTTAATATAGAGTCCCCCACCCCCATGCAGCATCCACCCTTTTTGGAGGGATTTTGTATGATTTTACAGTGTGTGAATCCATTTAGCCCAAAGAGCTGTCTCGTGACTTTCTACACCAATGTTTCCAAACCATACCTTTATCTAGTTGGCTTTGCACACTGGGGTGTAGTCATGCTGGAACAGATAATGGTCTTTCCCAAAATAGGGCCACAAGGTTGAAAGTGTAAAAATGTCTTTGTATGCTGTATCATCAAAAGTACACTTCACTAAAAATCACCTGAACTCAATCATTTGAAGGGACGGACACATATTTTTGATCATATAGTATATAAGCTATACAGAAACGTTAGGGGTTTTTTTTTGGTGTTTTAGTGGGTAATTTCAATGCTTACATTGGTGGTTTGATTGCCTTCTTTGGGTTTTGGGCATGGCTCTAGATAACAATCATTAGCATTAACCTAATTTTAAAGAAAATATTTTTACCTGTAAGAGTCCCATCCATATCAGTTAAAACAACTTCATGTTCCCACCGGAATCCAGCCTTGTTGGGTACGTTAAAGTATTGTATTCCATTAAACCTTGCACTCCATCCTCCACACCTGTCACTGCACACTCCAGTAATTGATGTCACTGCAATTGCTGCACAGTTTGGTCTGTCAAAATTCATAAACTTGACTGATGATACTGTCAGTCCTTCATCGAATGGCAGAGTTATGCCCCTAGATGTGCAATAACTGGAGCCAAGTCCTAATTCATCAAGATGGCCTACAATGATGGCATTTTTAAGGACAGCTCCATAAGTCTCACCCCATCCACCAACATAATCTGAAATGACTCTCTTTGTTTCTATGCCTGTATCTTCATTATTTACCATGGTGAAGTTATGAAACTGAAGAGCACCTCCATTTACCCATTCAGCCCCTTTCTGACAGTTCCACGTGGTCAGTGATTTGAAAACAGCAGTAGATGGTGTGGAAGAACTGCAAGATCCTGTTACCATGGGAAAGTATTCTTGAAATATCCAGATGCCAAACCACCCCTGAGAATGGACAGTGTTGTTGTAGAATTCACCAAGTGGCACTCGTTTCTGGCAAATGTTCGAGTCATAGGATGGACCATCTGGGTGGTCGTGCATTCTGTACCAAAAACCAAAATGTGTACCTCCAGCAGCTGCATTGTGCCTAATGGTGTTATTCGGATTCGTTACCCAATAACCTGCCGGTGTAACGTCATCGTTCAGTAGACTGGTACTTTGCTGGACAAATACTGCCAAGTTGTACTGAAGCACATTGCCATGTTCTATGCCATCCTCAATGAAGAAGGCTCCTCCCATGATGTCATAAATGACGTTGTGTTCAACAAGAAGATGATGAGTATTGTGGATAGTTACTGCTCTGTTGTAGGTCTGGTGGATCCCACAGCCTCGTACATATGACTTAAACTGGACATCACCCATTAAATGCCAGTGAATAGGATAACGTCCCAACCGGAATGCTTGACCAGCATGGAAAACCTGGAAAACATATATTTACTATGTTTTATGTTTCTGTTCTGAAATGTTTACACTATTGATAATATTAGTCCCCTCAAAACTAATATTAAAAGGCAGAACTTGAAGCTGAACTCCAGGATTTAAAAAAAATACCCTTGCAGTAGGGCACCAACACTGCATGGGCTAACTGTTCATTAGATCTAAAGCTGGGTATACATGTATTGAACTTCAGCTGGTTCAGCGGAATCTGTGTGTAGCCCTGTCTGTTCATCAAAAGCTTATTGTTAGAATGGCTTCTGCCGAACGTTCCTGCTGGAAAACTAGCATTTGGTCAGCTGCCATTCCAATTGATGTAGTGTTGATCGGTGTATTTTGATGTGGGGATTCCCCACTGTCAGAATATAATAGGACAGTGGGAGAGATCCCTGCATCCATAGCACTTGTGTGAATGCAGGAATCTGTGAGGGATTTTTTTTCGTTCAAACCACTGACTGAACAAAAAAAAAAAAAACACAGAGTATACCCAGCTTGAGGGTAGCAATGTACGCATATCCCCAATGTCCCAGGAACATATCAGTTACCTCCACATATTCTATTCTTCCAATGGACTGCAGCTTGTCAGGCTCTGGTGCATGAAACATTATACATCCGCCAAACTGATCACTTCCTATTGTCTCTCCATACCTTCCTTGGAAACATGTTTGTGTAGCAAATTCACCTGGAACAAGAGATAGCACACTCTCAGGTGTGTTCAACAAGGTAGTGTAAAGAGTGGGACATAATGGACAAAAGAAAAATAATAAGAGAGGATAGAATAATGATAGTAGCGTATGCCCAATCGTTTGTTGATCGTTGCGGTCTTAAACCATACATTACCAGTAAAAAAGAAAAAAAGGTCTCAAGCAGAAGGGTACAGCCCCCCTGTATGTGACAAGCAATTATTTGTACAACTAGACTTCTCATAAAAATAATAATATATTTTATTGGTATCAAAAATACACTATATTGCCAAAAGTATTGGGACACCCCTCCAAATCACTGGATTCAGGTGTTCCAATCACCTCCATGGCGACAGGTGTATAAAATCAAGTACCTAGGCATGCAGACTGCTTTTCTACAAACATTTGTGAAAGAATGGGTTGCTCTCAGGAGCTCAGTGAATTCAAGTGTGGTACCGTGATAGGTTGCCACCTGTGCAATAAGTTCATCCGTGAAATTTCCTGGCTACTAGATATTCCACAGTCAACTGTTAGTGGTATTATAACAAAGTGGAAGCAACTGGGAACAACAGCAACTCAGCCACAAAGTGGTAGGTCATGTAATATGACAGAGCGGAGTCAGTGCATGCTGAAGTGCACAGTGCGCAGAAGTCGCCAACTGTCTGCAGAGTCAATAGCTAAAAACCACCAAACTTCATGTGGCCTTCAGATTAGCACAACAAAAAACCATGTATGAATAATAAAATGAACATGGCTAAAACAAATGCTGTAGAAAACAATAAATTACCTGTATCAAATCCATCTGGACAGGCTGGTATTGTGTCACTCCATTCTGCATTGGTGGAACCTCTAACCAGAATGTTTCTTGTAAGAACACCAACTTCAGCTCTAGCTTCAAAGACTGTTCCATCAGGCAAGATAACCGATATGCCTAAGTGCTGGTACACCAGTGGCTTACTTAGAGTCAGGTTTTTGCCATCCGCAGACACAGATTGTATAGTCATCTTCTCATTCTGCCTTTGACTATGCCTATTAGGAAAATAAAGCACATACTTTATAAGGTCACCAAAATGTGATCCTGTCAATGATTAACAAGTGCTGCTCAAATTGTTTATAATTAACAATCCATATTGAGCAGCAGAGATTACTCAATTGGCATATCAAATAAATTTTTTTTAATATTCCATATTATTCATGATTACCAAGCTGCTACTGTTCTGTTAACAAGCTCTTTCTCAAGCACAGAGTTACAATAAGTGTAGCTAATACTATATAATCCAAAAATTCAAACAGGGTGATTACCTTGGTTGCTATTGCAACTGAACCGACTTCCACAGTCCAAAAATACAGTAAAGTATCACGGGCTGCCACACTGCACATTTCAGATTTTATGCTTTGTTTCTTCCAAGTAGATATATATCCATCATGTACAATAAAAGTAAGTGTCCCTCCGATCCAGCATTGTCCAAAGGCTTGTGCTGGAGGGACACTTACCTGGATATGTATCTACTTTGAAGAAATAAAGTATAAAATCTGAGGTTTTGCAGTGCAGCAGCTCGTGACGCTTTATTATGGAGTCGATTTACTAAAACTGGAGCACACAGAATCTGGTGCAACTGTGCATGGTAGCCAATCAGCTTCTAACTTCATCTTGATCAATTAAGCTTTGACAATAAAACCTAAGACCTGATTGGTTACTATGCACAGCTGCACCAGATTTTGAGTACTCCAGTTTTAGTAAATCACCATATACATACACACACCGAACTATCACAATCAACTAATCAGGAGTCAAATACCACAGTGGCAGAAGACCGTGTGGGAGACAGTAACATTCCTTCACCCAGAAGAAAGGGTAGACATTGCTTTATCAAGGAATGACATGTGTGACTGGCATAGATTTTGTATTGGCCAAAATGGATAGTAAAAATGAATCAAAGAACTGCAGAGAATACGGCAATGGCCAATCTAGACTACTCCATTTTTATTTGGTATTTTACATGTGGTTGGTCTGTTTCTTGGCACTGCTATCACTGACATGAGAAATATAATGCAGATTAATATTACAATAGTTCCGGTAATGGTTGGAGTGCAAAGACCTGGAAAAAGTAGTAATGTTGTGGTGATTTCATACTAGAAATTATTAACATTTTCCATGTTTACCATTTAGACAAAGACAAATAGTCTGCTTGTAATACTGGAACTAAAGCAACCTTGTAAGCAACCTGAAAAGTCATATCCGGGCCAAGACAAGGGGTAGATGAGAGGGACAGCTGCCCTGGATGCGGTTGGGGATTTGGAGGATTGTGCTAGAAGGCGTAATTTGGAGCAGGATTTGTACTAGGAGGAAGTTAGGACGATGGATTTGGGGGGGATTTGTGCTAGTAGGGATTGGGGGGATTTGTGCAAGGAGGATAAACTGGGGGGAAGGATTAGTGCTAGGAGAGGGGATTTAAGGAGATTTGTGCTGGGAGAGGGGGGAGGGGATTTATGCTCAGAGGGAAAATTTGAGGAGTAGAGAATTTGTTCTAGGAGGGGAGTTTGTACTGGAAGAAGGTAAAGTTTCTGTTTAGGGAGAATTTGGACATGCAAAAGAAAATTTTTGCTTAGAGGGTAAGTGTGAAGATTAGCGCTTTTGGGAGGGGCAGGGAGGGGATTTTTGCTGACACACAGTGCTCATACATTTGGAAAACAGTATACAGGACACAGTATTAATATGAAGGTACGTGCCAGGAGCCACTGAGTGCTGCAGAGGACACAGCAGATCAACACCAGTTCTATTAGTTACTAGTATAATTTCAAAAAGATATTTGTAGCTTGGTTTTAAGCCTCATTCACACTGGCATACTACAGTGTACACCCATGCGAGGGCTGTGTTGTTTCAATGCATGGGGATCTGCAGGTGTACCATGCATACCCATGCAGATAGTCCCATTCATTATAGTTGAGAAACAGTGGCTGCATGGACACAGCCACTGCTCTCAATTTGATATATGTGCTCGTGCATGGCCTCGAACGCAGACAATCTGTGTTTGGGGCCGTGCCTGTACACAGATGTCAATTGGGAGCTGCAGCTATGTGTCTGCAGCTGCTGCATCCCAACTGAAATGAATGGGATTGCCTAATTTGGCCTGCATTGTACACATGTGCATCCCCGAGCGGGTAAATACAGCATACGCTGTAGTACACCTGTGTGTACTTACTTTATATATGGATAGCTAGGAAGAGAACAGCTGTCAGAAAATCGTACTGATGTTATCATATTTATATATATATATATATATATTTAAAAGCATAAATACACGTTTTCTACATTAGTCTGAGATGCGTGTTGTTTTTGTGTAATCAAAATTTGACATCAAATCCAGTTACAGACATTACTTGCATATCATTTGACACATCAAGTTTCTTCTTCCACTTTGATTTCAGATTAAATGGAGAAGGGAATACTGTGGTTTTTTTTTTAAATATTCAGAGCTCCAGTCCTACAGTCATCATTAGAGGGTGCCAAACATTTACTGCACAGGGGTAAACCTAATATCACCTTGTAAATCTCCATTGGTGTGTGATGTGACTGGTGAAGAATAATGAGCATGTACCTGTGTCCAGTTGATGCAATCACAATTTCATCCCCAGCTTTCCATGTCACACTATGCAGGAGAAGCAGAGCAGAGCTTCCAGCCTCTGCAGTCTGCGCTAGACGGGTCCAAGTTACCGGCACTGGAATACCTGGAAAACATCAACAGGGCTCTGGATTGGCCTTTGCCATTTTTTCTGTATATCAAACTTAATAATTACTACCCTAATGATGAAAAAATATTTTCCAGTAAAATACATGATTATGTCATGCAAAGATATGTTTATGCTATCTTGTTGATATTGGACTTCTATGCATTTGTTTGCATTATTGGGATCTATTTGAATAAATAATATTTGACTAACCGTGAAGATCCAAAGTTCCTTGTCTGACCGCCAAGGTTTTTGCCCCGTACAAAGGTAGCTCTGGGGAGCGTAAATGTCCATGTAGAGTGATGATAGCTTTGTGCTGGAATGGGGCAGCCTCAGTTCCAATCTAAATATAAAACATAAAGCAAACCAAACTTATTATAATCAATCATGTTTAAGTACATGGATCCTCTTATAATGTAGTATTGCTGTGGTCTCCTATACCTGCAAAACACCATTATCTGTGATAAGAATATTCTCAGCCTGGAGCTCAATGTCAGCTTCATCAAATACCAGAGTTCCTCCTGGTGTGAAAAGACAGGTATACATATTAAACTCCTATATCACTTACCTTCATCAAAAGCAGAATGCACATTATATACACTATACAATGAAGCATATTAAATTTTAGCAATCATATGTCAGTCTGCTTTACTATACTACCCAACTTTTCAAACTAAACTGGGTCCCATCATGCCCTGACCCCAATATGTCACAGCACAGCCCACATGCTGACCATATTTTGACATGTCAGCCCACATATTAACTATATTTGGACATGTCATGCCTAGTTTTAGGAAGCCTGGCCCCTTTTGGAACCCAAATCTGAGCACAATCAGTGAAAAGTGAACTCATAGTGCCAGAATTAAAAGATGCCTGTATTGATTCTGATAAGTTGATATTGAGTAATACAGACAATTAACATTTATGATACTGACCCACCATAACCTACAACTCATTATTTGAAATTCCAAAACTTTCTAATACATCAGCCTCTATTTTGATAAATCACACCCACTTTTTATAAGATTAATCTGTTTAAGTTTGAAAACGGGCTTGTCCAGAAGAGATAGCTGGCAGCTACAGGACTCCATTCCACTAGCATCCTATAATGTCTATATGTGCCCTGCTAGCTACTGGTAAAGTATATTTGGAGTTCCTTGATATCTGGGGGAAGCTCTGATGCCCAATATACCCACTATGCCCATAGCGAAAATTAATACTAGCTTGACCCTACCTTGAATCAGCAGCATCTTCAGCACTGGAGTGCTTTTGTCCAGTAGGATAGTCTGTCCCTTAGTAATGACAGCCATTGAACCTTCATCTGGGGGAGATTCCCCTCCCCAGGTATATTTAGAGGACCAAACATCGATGTAGAAAAAGTCTGCATTGTCCTGAAACAGACAAACAGGAAAATTGCATCACACAGTAATGTAAACTCTATTTTTTTTAAACAAAATCTTTAGATCCAACAGATTAAATTGGGGGGGGGGGGGTGTCAATCTTATAGAATGCCTAGCTATCCATTGTCAATCTTTGTAATCAAATAACCAAATTCTTCTGTTCCCCTGTTCTTCACAATTAACCCTCTTTTAGGTCTGATCTATCTCTCATCTATCCCAGCCAAAAACTATTTATTTTTGGATAACATGGGAAAGAGTTTGAATCTTTAGAAAAGAAATAATGGTTTCTGTGCATAGACAAGGCGTAACTCAGTCTCCAAACTTAGTAGAAACTTTCACACAGATAAGGTGCCCATGGGAGTTTTTGAGGGGTACGCCATATAAACAGTCCAATTTTTAAAACCATATAAAAATGTATATGGTTTTAAATATTGGATTGTTTATGTTGCGTACCTCTCAAAAAGTTCCATGAGCACCTTGTCTGTGTGAGAGTTTCTACTGAGTTTGCATCATTTTCTTTGAAGCTGTAAGTAGCCCTGTAGGGGGGAACATCAAGAACAGAAAAGTTTAATTCTTTGGTCATATGAGTGTTTCTATCCTACTGGATGGAGGCAGATGGACTACCCCTA